AGCTGTTAAGCAGGAGCTTTGAGAACACTTGTCATTTACCTGAAATGAGTGTTTTCATTCAAACTTGTCCTTGAAAAAAATCTCTAACTCCTAAAGCTTTGGTCTCTTGCAGTTAAACGGACAACATACTACACAGAAACGAAGGATTATCAGTAAAACAAAGCCTTAATGGCCCTTTCACTGCCACATCTCCTACTGAAAAATATCAAGAGAGCAAACAATTTAAAAGTAATATACAGTCCTACTCAATAGTCCTTAAAAAAGCGGGTTAGTGGTTTCTGACTTTGCCCACTGGGACACTTGTATTAATTTTTCCAAGTCAGAAAAGTTTAGAAGTAATGGGAACAGTGGAATTTGCGTGGGACAAGAAGCCCCAAGTTCCTGCTCTGACTCTAGTGGGATATGAGTGGTGCAAGCTCACAAAGCCATTTCATTTTTCTAAGACCCAGGTCCTTCAATGTTGCCATATTTTTGGGAGCAGCTTGAAGGTGGCTACTGGGTGTTATTTTTCTTTGTAGCCCTAAGAGACAATACAGTAAAACAAACAAAACCCCACTACTTTGGAAGCTCCTTGGGAGCAAGAAAATGTCTTTCTGCTCATTGTTGTACCATAGAATGGCAGATGTTATAGACGTAATACACTACTTAGCATAGATAATAAATATTTCCTGAGTGAATAAACAGATATAGAGTTTATTGTGTGCATGTATGAAAGAGGGATACTAATCTCAGCCTGACCAGTCACAGGGTTGTTGACAGGGTCATACGAAAATAGTTACGCGACTGGATTTTATAAATTGAACAAACCCAAGGTAATCCTATTGTTACATTTAAGCAGAACATGTTGGTTCCATCATCTTTTGCTCTTAATTGTATTTATAAATACATCTATAGCATTTTGAATCATTCCATCTGCTTTCATCTTTTTAGACAGCAACTGATTAAAAGCTGTTTAGCTTTAAATAGCTTTATATACTTTCAGATAGACATGTATTTCCCCCATCTTGATACCTAATAATTAAAAATATCTTGTGCTAAAGACTAGACATATGGACCATTAGGTTGAATTATCACAGTATTTTTCTCTAGGCTGATTATCAAAATATTTCATTATTTTCACGAAATAAGGTTTTCCAAAGGCTCTGTTTTTTGAGTCTGCTATGAGTGGTTAAATGCTGTCACAAAGAGCATTCAACTTGATGTATGGGACACATTATCAAAGGGAAGTGTACTGTCATATGGCATTATGACACTTGAACTCCAGGGAGAAATTTGGGTAGAGTGTCTGGCCAATATGTTCTAGGCATCTTCTTGAAGCTGCCTAATGCTTGCTGTGTCTTGACCCCAATTTTCCCAAAGCACATTTATCCTCCCTCCTACAAAGTTTTGAACTCCCACTGATACATCATGAAAAGTTGGGATAGATCCTAGAAGACTAGAAAGCTATTTCTTTGGATTTTATGTTTAATTCTATTCTAACTTCTAAAAAGTGAATAGGATAGCTATCCTTGCCTGAAATAAAACATATTTAGTTTTTTTCAATCATGTGGTCAGAGCTTCTTATAATAAATGAAATTCCTGTTACTGTAGTTTAAACTCACTTTCTTTACAGATTTGAAAGAAAAAAAAAAAGAGAGAAAGCTTCCAATAATACCCTGAACTTTTTATATCTGATAGTTTCATTATAACAAATCTCAGATCCAGATACAACATTATCAAATTATGTCTCCAAATGCCTCATAAAAAATGGTTGCCCCAGTTGCTAAAATAGCAGGTAAAAAGGCTTTTCTAGCCTTTTTCTAGCCTGGAAGATTTTCAGTGAATTTCACTGATTTTCACTGACTTTCACTGATTTTCAGTGAATCCCCAGATGCTATACTCCCAGAAACTCCCTACCTTAAAAGTTGGCTATTTTCTCTGCCTCAGGATTTGCCCTCATTGAACAATACTCTATTGCTAAGTTATTCATGCTAAAATGTGAGAAAGGAAATTGAATTACTAAATCCTTTGGATGCTCTGAATGCTTGGATTTTGAAATCTGGTAGCTGAGACATCATGTTACTAGCATATTCCTTTTTTACTCAAATATCTCAGAATCACATAGATACTGCTTAAACTCACTTGATAGGAACTCTTCATTCAAAAGAAAAAGATCAATGCTAGTGAATTTCAGTCTTGTAAGAATTATCAGTCAACCACGACTTCTCACTGTGACTGTTACTCTACTTTTTGGCTGACTCCTTAGAGGCCGCATTGTCTGAAATAAAATACTTCAGTTAATTAAGTACCACACTCCTTCCTGTTCCCTCCCCCTTCCCTCTGTGACCCACCTAGACTGTTTATGAAGGTGTGGTCCCTGTGTCTCCTATTCTCCTAAAGTGAGGTTTTAAACAAAATCAAAACCAGTTACCAAAATGTTATGACTTTCTCATAATAATGTTACAACAAAGGGAACTTTTTAAGGATTTAGAAATAGGTGGTCAACAATAGGCTTTGTATTACATTATTTAGACCAGATTTCCCATCTGGGCAAACTTTCTAATTTTCTAACTTGAAAATTGTACAAAACACATGTGTAAATTCTTGGTTAGAAGCCAACATTAACCCATCTGGGCAAACTTTCTAATTTTCTAACTTGAAAATTGTACAAAACACATGTGTAAATTCTTGGTTAGAAGCCAACATTAACCCATCTGGGCAAACTTTCTAATTTTCTAACTTGAAAATTGTACAAAACACATGTGTAAATTCCTGCTTAGAAGCCAACATTTAGTTAAAGGTGGAAAGAAACCATCTATCTTTGTAGCAAATATAACTCACTTTATTTTTTAAATAGTGCCATTTTTCAACAGCTTTGGTACTGCTTTTATAGATATACAAATTAAATGTTTCACTAGTATTATATTTAAAACATGGAGAAACAAAAAAGTAATCTGAATGACCCAACCAGTGAATTGCTTAATAATTTACGAAGATGTTGAGTATGGAAAACATGGAAAAGTGAGGTAACCCTCAAATACATATAGCTTCCATGACTTCTAATCCAAGTCTGGACAGTGACATGGTGAGTGAGGTCAATACTGCTGGACCGCAGGTATTTTGGGGGGTACATAGCGGAGTGGCAGAAGCAGCAGAGGATGCAGGATTAAAGACCACCACATAGCTACTGGAGAAGAGACTCTGGGCTTGACATTTGTTTTCCTCTCCCCACTGTCCTCTCCGAGGGTTCTGCCAGATCTCACTTTTCTTTCCTTGTTTACACCACTACTGTACTTGATCTTGGTGTGTCCCTATTACCGGCTAGGCAAACATGATTATTTGTAAAGTCCTAAACAAGCTGAAGGAATGGAGTGACAATAACCTCCACTGTTTTTATCATTTTGCTTACAAGGACTTCTGTGGATAAATAGCACAATTCAGGTAAGAAAACCTTTCTCAGAATATTATTTCATAGAGGCAACAATATCCTGTAGAAAATGAAATCAGGCAGGAAGTCAGAGATGATGGATCCTGGTCTTCCAAACACTGGGTAATGTTGGGCAAATAGAGGATGCAATGTGGACCTCACTGTGGCTTGCTGTTTTATAAACTGGAGATAATATTTGACTCTAATAACTGATAAGTCTGGGTTAAAGATTAATTTGCTAATATGCAGAAAAAGGCTCTGTTCTTTAGAAGGGGAGAAGTGTGATGTAATAATTTAGTATTATTATCTGTTCATCAGGTATCATGATTTAGAGATCCTATCAAACAGAGAACAAAAGTCTTTTATCACAAGTTTGAATCAGCTCATTCATTCCAGGCTTCAGAGCTTTGGGCACCAGCATATATGGGACCTCACCAATAATGGTCACTTTTTACATAGTGTCTTTGTCTGAGGAGGGTTTTCTGAATCCTCTTCTTACAAATTGATTTGTTTTTCTCCCAAGCCCCTGGGTAACCACAGGAAAGCATTCTTAAGTCTTCTCCTCAAATTCTATAATGATTTGGCGAGCAGAAGAAAATCAGAACAGAAGTGTATGTCTGTGTGCTTCCAACAACATAGAGGTACCTAAAGAGAGAGTTAAACATAAGAGAAAAGGACCTATTCTCTTAGTTTTCCTTCATAGACAGTCACTGCAACAAGGAGACTTACCCATCTTGGGTGCTGATGGGTGGCTGTGAATGTGTGAAAGCCTATTAAACAACCAATTTCATGGTATACCCACTAGAAATACAATCTTTTTCTCTTCTTCCTGAATCATTCAGTTTGAACCTATTCAGAAAAACTGCTGATTCACTGGGACTATGAAATAGAGACTCTTCTTAAGAGGCCCTTCCATGAGTAGCCCATTTCCAATTATGTAAAGTTCTTTTAGTCAGTTCACAACTGTAAAAAGTTCCTTTAAAATCTTTGAGTTCATTTATAACTCTGAGGGGTTAAGTTTAAGTCTACAAAGGGTTTAAGTCTACAAAGACCTTAAAAAATCAATATCTTTTATTATTGGACACATTTCTAGATTCACTTAATAGTGTTACTCTCTCAAAAAACTTTACTCTGTTGCCCTTCAACTCCCCTTTACTGGGGTAAGAAAATATAAAAATGTCTGTTAATAAATAAGTTTAAGAATTCCTTGACTGAAAAAGTCCATTGCAAAAACCAAACATAAAATGAATAGAGGGGAATAATAAACTCAGTATTTTAGACCCATTTCTTGATTTTTGTCTAAACACAGTGTGACCAAGAAGCTTCCACTTATTTTTATGCATATATTATATATATATATATTTTTTACACACACACATATATACTTAAAGGTATATATTTAACAACATGGAATGGTAACATATCAAATGCTTAGATTCCGTGCAAACACATAACCTTTCTTGTGAAGGAAACATATTCATATTATAAAACAAATCATGGAGAGTAACATGCAACAGTGGGGGGAAGAGAACAGGGTAGGGACAGAGGGCCAGGAGGAACACAAAGAATGTAAAGAACAAGAAGTGTCATTGACCTGATTTGTCAGAGTTGTTGCCTGTGATTGGAGTGATGGAGCAGCTGGGATTAGCCTTTGCGCTGTCCTTGGAAGAAACCATTTTGGGTTTATTTTTCGTTGCCTCTAGTGCTTTGACCTTCTTGGCATGTTTACTTCCTTTGTAGTGGGCCTCGGCCTGGCTCTACAAAGGAGAACAAATCAGGCTCATTGTTTTGCTACTTACAAACACCACAATGGATGATCATGCAGGAAAAAATACATTCAGTCACAGGCACCACAGACATTTAGAGCTCAGCACTCTACGTTTTTGGCATTTAATGAGTAGTAGACCAGTATCTAAGAGATTTTTGCATACTGAGACCTTCTATACAACAAAGAGGACCTGTGTTTTTCAAAACCAGACATTATGCAAGTGGACAAAAGGGTTAGGGCAAAACTGGGATGAAGGTGAACTTTGTCATTAATGTCTTCCCACCACTGCCCATTGGGGTTACTTGTCAAATGTTTGACCTGCAACAAGCACCTTGAGTGTCCTACCCGGGTAAGACCTTACACAACCACTCCATTTAGTTTCCTTTTAGCTACAAATCTGTCTTCCCTGCACCTATATTCCTCTTGGCTCTGCTCTGAGGGCAACTGATGTGACAAAGCAACCAGCTAGTGAGTGGAAAAGGCACTCCATTGTGGAGTCATCTCTATGTGCTTAAAGTGTCATTCTGATGACTCCAATTCTAAGAATAGACAATATAAGCCGCAAAGAAAATAGGGACAATGCTTGTTTCTGATCTCAGATGTGATTCTGAAGTCAAAGCAGTATTACATTTACTTATACACAAAGCATAGGTGAAACTGTGACTTCAATACTAGATCAAAAAAAAAAAGAAGAGTGATCAAGGCAAGTGAATACTAAAAATTTTCAAAAGACAAAAACAAGCTATGGAAAAACAAGAAAACATTTAGTCAATTTGCCGAGTTTTGGAAACTTTTCCTCTACCTAAAGAAGAAGGATTTTACCTTTTTGGCATCTAGTATAATGTACATATTAACTGAAGAATTAAGTATATTTGCTCCAATTCCATTTAAAACAGACCCCCAAAATATAAACAAACTAAAACATATATATAGGTAAAAAAACAAACTAAAACATATATGGTATATTAGTTAGAAAGTAAAGATGCTGATAAGCCTGTTATATAAAATAAGTGAAAGTTTCTGTTAGACGATTTCTAAAATAATAACTTTTTTAACTTCAGTTTTCCCTATATACACTTGTGTGTGTTTGAAGATGGTAATACTAATGCTTTCATCCATTTTCCTCAACAAGCAGAATACAGGCAGTGTGTGTGTGTGTGTGTGTGTGTAGATAGGTAGGTAGACGTGGCAGTGGACAGAGGAGTCAGGTTTTACTTCTACATTTCAACTAAATATATGTGATTTTCCTAGCACATAACCTGGATCCCCCAAGGTCAACAGATTTGAATTGACTATACTTAGTCCCTAACTTTCTGAATATTTTTTCATAAATATTGTTTTAGACTATCATTGACTTATCATTGTTCTAGCTGGTTTGCTCAAGGACTTCTCATGCTGTTCTCTGTCAAGTTGAAAAAAATCCAATCCTAAGGGAGGAAAAAGTGTAATATTAAGTTTTATTAACATCTGAGAATGGTTAAATCCAGAAAATATTGTTGGGTAGACATAAATTAAGAAAATATACAAATAAAACTTTAAAACTTGATAACATGAAGAAATAACAATGACCAATATTATTGAGCCTCTGCCAAGAACAGTTCTAAATGTATTATGTGTATTCGCTCATATAATTATCATAATACCCTGTAAGGTAGGTACAATTATTGGTCAACACTTTACAAATAGAACACCGGGCATGAGAAGTTAAATACTTTGTCAAAAGTCACACAGGTAGGTGTAGAAGCCACTTTGTGGATCTGAAATGCTTCCACATGTACCCCTATTTTACTATACGTTATTGTTGTTGCTTTAGTCACTAAGTCTTGTCCAACTCTTTTGCCCACCAGGCTCCTCTGCCATGGGATTTGCCAGGCAAGAATACTGGAATGGGTTGCCATTTTCTTCTCCAGGGGATCTTCCTGACCCAGGGATTGAACTCACGTCTCCTGGTTGGCAGGCAGATTCTTTAACGGTGAGCCACCAAGGGAGCCCATTTAACTATGTATCCTTACTTTAAACACACACATACACTAAATTAACAATATAATTTTATTAGAAGTAAAAAATTACATACAAAGCACGCTGCTTTTAATGACTAAGTGAAGGCTTATACTTTAGTAGAAGTTTCTATCAGTAGGCAATATCTTAATTCATGGAAATAAATTTATTGGATTGAAAAAGTTTGTTTGGACTTTTATGTATGATGTTATGGAAAAACCCAAACAAACTTTTTGGATAAACCAACACTGACATAGTACGTTAGGCCTGAACCTTCTGTTGAGTAGCTAAGAAAGGCCTGCTTCTTTGGTATATAACAATTTCTACAAGACATCAGGAGACCGCCTAGTAATTCATTTTTCCAAGTATACTAAATAGTGAGATGTTACTTTCATGTCCTTTGGCTAAAGAAACATCAAGTTCTCTAAATAAAACCTCCTAGCACAAGATAAGTGGAGTGTTACTTCCTCATTATTATTTCCTGACATCCTTGCAGAAAGCTAAAAGCATCAATTATCACTTGGGGTAAATAACCAGCTAAGTGATACCTCACTGGATGCCAAGATGGAAGGAGCTCTCTTGAGCCGTGATTCACTGTCTTTTTGAGTTCTGGGGCCTTGAGAAAAGCGAAACAAGCCTTCTTAGCCTCTACTCACTGCTGTTTGGGGAAAGATCTGGAATTAAGACAGTGGCAGACACCACTCACTCATGCCTGGCATCTTTCCAATTCCCTGTGGTATTCTTGGTAGTAGCACTTTGCTGTCCTCAGTACTGTATCTGAGGTGTCAACAGCTTCTAAATCCGGGCAAATCTTCAAGTGAAACTGAGACACTGTTAAACAGTAACACGATTAACCTGACTTCATTATCTGGGAATCTCCTTAATTGAGGAATGAAAGCACTAAGGACAAGAGCCAGAGAACCTATGAATGAGGCAAGAAGATTAAGCCTGATCAGTGATGGTTCCTGTATCATTTCTGAGAGACTTGGCTAACCAAATGGACTTATTTTATACTTCAGCGACTAATCAGCAGACACCTATTTATCTAGCACTAATGGTTTGCTTTCTGATTCCCTTCCAAAAGTACTTCTATACACCCTAAGCTGGCTGTAATCAAATAAACCCCTTGCCAAGAATTGTCAAAATTAGAGAGTTACCCAAAGCATCATACTGACTTTCACACAGGAATTCATTGATATCTAGGCTCTCATAGAGGTCACTCCAGTAGCTACCTGACCACCCAATGGTTAGAGGAATGACTTGGACAGGAGATGACATCCTGGGATTTTTTTCCTTCCATTCATCTCCATCTGTATTACTAAGGCCCCTCACTTTCTGAAATCCTCCACTTCTCTTAGGACCCTACTATAAATAATGAGATAATGCATTACTTTACAAATAAAAAATGCAATAATGAGAAATTCGATAATTCACTGAGCTCCTGTATCTGTTTTTTACCTTATTTCTATTTTGGACTTCAGAGAGGTAGATAGGATCTTGAAAGAAGACACTGAACTATGTATTCTTCGTGCAGAAAGAACAGCCCAAACACAAACTGGCAAGTGGCTGGCATAGAGTAAAGTCACTGGAGGAAGTCCTCAACTATTTATTTACTGAGAGACCCAATTGTTTTGCATCTTAAAATGTAATTGGAACTGTTCCCTTAATTACAGAAAGTGTATCATTAAAACTGTTGGCATCTGATTTTTCTGAGACCTTAGATTTCAATGTGTTAAGCAGTGTTAGATGGGAAGTAGCAGAGGCCAGTTACTTTTCAGAAAAAATGTATATACTTTATATACTAAAATGCCAAATAAAACAGATGTCAAACAAACTACCATGAAACAACCTAAACTAACAAGGGGAAAAGTCTGATTACTCCACAGGGAATTTCTTAGCACCTGCCATATGCTAGACACTGTGAAAGATTAAAAACAAAGACCCCTTGCTCACAAGAATGGTAGTTGGAAGAAAAGACGGATGTATAAATAACTATAACCCAAACAGAGAGTGAAACTATAAAATGGAAGATAAACTGGAATAAAGAAGAATGGGAGTCAGAGGAGAGGTAAATCTCTTTGGATTGGAGGAGGACTGAGGAAGCTTCACGAAAAGGAATATCAGAGCTGTGCCCTACTTCTAGGGAGGGGATCTGAAGAGGCAGTGGCATTTCAGGTAGAGGGACCAGCATGTGCTGGGGAAGTGAAGTCCTGTGAATTGTGCAGTGTTTCCTGGGCATAGCTGCTTTTCAGTATCACTAGAAAACAGACATATAAAAGGAACAATAGGGAAAGACTGCCGCATCCAACATTATTATCCAGTGTAAAACAGAAAATATAGCATAGTATTCCACAAGTAAAAAACAATGTTCTACTTGCAGGCATCTTTTATATAGATGGCTATAAGAAAGTTGTTGCTTTTACGTCACAGATTTTATCCTCTGCTGCAAACTATAATCCTATACTCAAAGCACAACTAAATTATTTACATAGAAGGTTTAATAATTTGAGAAAAAAGCATGACACTTAAAATACCATAGTTAGATATACTAGAGTTTACCGAGTAGTAGTTAAATAATTAACTTGAATCTTTAACATAAGGCAACATTCAACTCTAAAAATGCTTTTTTTTGCACATTTGTTGCATTGATGAGACCACATCCTCTCAGAGACAATGCTACAACATAAGAAACATAAAATACACCCAAGAGAAAGGCTTACTTAATCCAAAGATAAGTCTTTCTGCTGATATTTGCAACTTTAAGGCCTGCAATATCAGTAATGACATACTACTGGCTTTGACATTCATTTGTTTAGTCCTCACCTACTAGGATCTGTTGAAAACAAAGTCCAAACAAAATTATAACTGTTAGGAGATGCAATGACTTTGCTAATTCATAATTTATAGCTAAGTGAAACACTCCAGGTGGCTATAGCCTGTCCAAGGTTGCCATGCTGTACACTGTGTGTGCTGGTGGGGTTGGGGGGGCTA